ACCTATATCCCGAAAATGAAAGTTATATATGCCAACAATAAGTTGCTAGAGCACTTTAAAGGCTCAAAATTGACCCCAAAATAAGGCAATGTTTACCGTTGTTTTTACGACAGAAACCGAATTGGTTATTCACAAAAATAAATCTGTCGACAGGTTTGGAATTTCATCTTTGAAACGCCACACTTTTCTTTGAAATCGCTTTATTAGTTCTCGTGCAATAAGCGTTTTTGTGAAGCTCTAAAAATTACAACTACAACATTTGAACATAGCCCCCATACCTTAAGGTAAGACGTATTCTACGTCAAAAAGCAAAAACCAGTTATAAGTTGAACTTTTAATCGTAGTCAAAGCACCACCACTTGAACGGGCAACTAGGAATTTATAATTTTCTCTCTCGTAAGATTTTCATTCGTATAGCTCCCAATTTATTTATAGGACGTTTGGCTCCACCCCGTGACTAACAGTAGAGCATGACGGTCCTCAATAGGTAGTAATTATAATAGAAACTTTATACAATAAGGTATAGAGGATATCATTTCAACTACCTATTTGCTTGCAAAATAATGGACTGATTTAAATAAACATAGGAACCAAACGAGGATTATCAATCAATCAGGATTATTTACTAGGTAGCGTATTGACCAAAATTTAGTGGAAACAATTTTAAATTAGTTGCTTTGAAAAGCTTGTGATTCAGGCGATCTGTATTGTTAAAATCAGAGAGTCCTTTCTTTGACGTTGATATTGGTATTTTCTAACAAGCCTGTGTGGTACTTTTATACATTTTTTTTTACAATTTATTTGAATTAGCGAAACGATTTTGAGCAAAACGTAACAGATTTTTCATGTTGTAATATTTAGTGTTTCATGGCCAGATATGGGTCAGTTCTTGATGGTATATAAATGTACCTATTCAAGTGCAGCTTATTACAATGGTGTATAAAATTTAGTTAAGAATAATATCCTAATTAAACCTAACCTACCAGTTTGTTTAAATTCCCCTCATAAGAGTATAAGTATGTAGTTAACTCATTATTATATTTTACTTGAGCTTACTTTAAAGAATTATTATTGCATCTATTTAGAGGTTGCGACACATAGATATATCGCTTGGTGGATATCCCTAGTGACAAGGGACTATCTCTGGCAGTTCCATACTCGATACTTCGCTGATAAATACGCTCGCGATATGCAGCAATTTAATGCATCAGCTTGACATACACAAACAGATTTTTCCAAAGATTTGTTGCCCTTAAAAACTTAGAGCGATCATTCCACACAGTCCTGAAAATTTACCGTCCTCTGCTTGTGATATAAAAAAGGGAATCTGTTTTGGTGCAGCCATAATGAAACCCAAGACAACCACAAACTGTAAAAATATTTGGTTTGCCACTGCAGCGGGCGAATGGTGGAAAAAAGGTCAAGCAAAGTGTCATTTTCTATTTTCCATTGTCGCCTGCAAACGAAGCGTAGTCGAAATGGTGAAAGCGCTTTTCTCCACAAATGCATCACCAAACTGACGCTTACTTTCACAATGCACTGAATCTTACGAATTCGCAAACACCCTACACAGAAGCGCATAACTAAATTTGACCGCAAGATTTAACCACAATGCAACTTGTGCAACAACAAAAAAATAAATAAATAAATAAATGTAAAAACTCTATATAAAAAGGGTGCTCGGTGTAATTTATCCTTATCTTTTGCCATTTCTCCTTCACTTGCTCAGATCCCCTTTGCACATTTTCTATTTTCATTTTTTTTATTTTTTATTGAAGTCTTGTCCCTACTTATAATATGCGTTAGCAGTTTACACTTGTTCGACCATTTTTCCTTTCCAATAACTATCCACTGACATGGTGCTCTTCCATGTTCTTTTTTCTAGCATTACAGAAAAGTTATTCGATGCGGTCTCGCTCCAAACTGTGTCAGACGAAAAGGAACCATGAGCAGGAAAAATACTCCATTGATTCAAACACTTAGCTACACATACATTCATATAGCATGTTAGAGTGTGTGTATATGCACACAATGGTCGCTTGCAGTTACATCAGCGACAGTGCAAAAATAGGAAGCTACACAATTACAATAGCGTTCAATGGCAATTTACTAAGGGTGCAGACTAAATAGCAACGAAAGCAAAAGGGAGCATCAAACGCAAAACGGGAAATTTGGCTCAATTCGCCTGCCAATGCAAGCCAAAGCGGTTGTATGAGCAGAAGATCTTATTTAGATAAGGCAACAATAAATTTGTTGGCGAATTATTATCTATCTGTTTTCGCATGAGTTAAAGGCTCCTTAGTTTGAAATTTAAAATTGCACTGGAATTTAATAGTTAAATATCTATTATAATACATAAATATTTTCTTATAAAGAGATTAATTTCAAATAATATCTAGTATATATTTGTAAATAAACAAGCTTAAACTTGTGAAAATTTATAACCTTTGTTTAGCGTATATTGTTCTTTAAATGTTTCCTCCCTCCTTGGCACTGAATTTTCAAAGGGACGCGGATTTTTCCAAAAATTAAGTTGGAAAATAAAAAATATAATATTTTGCTATAGTTACTTACACATTTTATTACTGAATACATATTCAAATAGCTATCATTAATGGCGGCCGCTGTGGCCGAGTTTATTTGGGGGAGCGTACTACTCCATAGAACCTGGGTTCGATCCCTGGTCCGAGCAACATATAAAATAGAAAAAAGTGTTTCAAAACATTTATTTAGTCTAGAAAGAGAGTCCCAATTAGTAGGGGTTTTGAAACTGCATGTGTAGAAAGAAGTACATTTTGAAACTATTGAATATACTATATTAACCTTCAGTTGTCTATCTGTTCGTCGAGGCTATTTGTCCCAAATTTGCAATTTTAATAAATTTAGTTTACTAAAGAAAAATCAAAAGAAACTCTTATTCCCAGTTATAATTTTTATTTATCCCATTTTCCAAATATGTCAGTTTGTAAACTCAAAAAAAGGTTGATTTTCTTGTCTTTTTTAAATACGATTTGGATATTTTCCAATTTGCTATTTAATACAAAACAAAAACTTATTTTGCTATTTTTCCCAACCGTAAGTTATTTTACACTGGGGTCTCACAGACGAATGCTATGTTGTTGTGTGACAACTTGTAAGATTGGTAGAGCAGGCAGATTGTCTCACACATGGCGGAATTATACCAGGTGAAATAATTAGAGCGAGAAGACAGATTTTGACATTGCCTTATATGAAAAATTGCCTTTAAAATTTGACTATAAGGCAGAGGAATAACCGAAAATAAAGCGAGAAAGCTGTTTTATTACTTCACCGGTTTATTGCGTCATGGTCTCATACGACATAGTAAGTCTGTGCCAGAGAACGTCACTATATTCGTTGACAGGCAGGCGGCATTGAAAAAATTTGGCTGCAGGGTGGTAAAGTCGAAAGCAGTTTGGAAATATCCTGCTACGCTGGCTTCAGGTCAAAGCCTGTCTTATCTGGGTTCCTGTACGAAATAGTCGATGAGATAGCTAGACACGGCTCGGAAATGCAAATTAGCGAAGCTGATAACTCCTTACTGCCACCGATTTCTTTTCTGCTTAGGGGGATCGATGAATAATACCACAGCCGTAACTAATGACCGCTGGAGCAATCGGGACCACTGTGAAATCTCAAGATACTTGCAGCCGGGGGTCAATAAGAGTCGTACTGAGGAACTATTGACACTAAACAAATCTGCAGTAATGGCCCTTACCAATGCTTCATCGACGGCCTATACCAAAAAGCTCCCTCTACTTAAGTTGTTGGGATGATGATCAACAGGAAGCTCTCCAGAAAATGCGTCTCAAGCATTTGCGATCACGCTTTTTTAATAGCTTATGGGACATAGCGTAGGTGAAAATATAGTACATGCACGGCTTCATTCGGAATAGTAAATGGTTTGGCATACTCTGTACTGACAGTGTGGATTAATTTCGGTCAGAAGGATATACCTTCTCCTTGCACTAACAAAGAGCATTCACAATGGGAAAATCTGCCTCCAAGTGGACGTAAGAGTCATTCATATGCGACTGCCTGACCTAACTGACCTAACTTAACTTAGGACTGGCCTCAAGTAAACCAACACGAACGTTGTGCCCGATAATTTTCATAATTTTATTTCCTACATAATGTGAAAAGGAAGATCACGAAAGTTAACTGATTTTAGTGAATTTCTAATTATCAATCAAAAGATCATTAATATGCTTAAAAAATGCGCAAAAAGTAATTTTTCTTGTTCAAAAGTCCGAAAGCTTTCAAATATGAATGTATATTGTTTAATGGAACGCTTAAACCAAAACTCCTTTCACGTTCATTTAAAAGGGAATACCAATGCACCTTTTCTGAGAGTCTAACCAGCAGAATATTTTACATAACTTTAAGGTTCTATGTGTACCCGTCTACTCACCCAAAGCGTTCAGCTCGAAGGCCTGACTAATTTTCGGCTCCGACGAAACTTGGCATTCATACACATCAGAGTCTCGCAGCTGCACAGATGCAATTTTCAACGACCACTCAACGGAGTCCTCACAATGCAAAGCCTCAAAGCGCTGGTCATTTGTGTAGGTCATCACGCCGATGGTCAGGATGTGTAAGTCGCGTTGACGTATCCAAGTGACCTGCAGTAAATGACAAACGAATTTTGCGTGCGGGAAAGACAAACAAAAACAAAGCATCACAAACAACATCAACGGCAACAACAAAAGGCAGAGTGGACAGCGGGAAAATACATAGGTTAACACCGCAGGATGGAAGTTAATTAGCCTGCAGGTAGAGCATCAGGCGGGAAAATGAGAAAATTATAATTGCGGTGAGTTGGAGAAGGAAGCTGCGAGGTAGTGGGCGAAGCGACACACTTCAGCTGGATATGGAAAACTTACTGCGCGATCCCCCAAATTTCGTACACGACAATGTAATTTTGCAGTGCGTCCGACAGCAACGACAACACTTCTCTGCGTGGAGTTCTCAAAGTAGGGTGCCGGCGTCGGTGGCGAAACAGCTTTCTTGTTTAGCTTTTTGGCAGATCTCTGCAGCTGCTGGCGATGCGCGTATTCGTGTTGCTGCTTCTTTGTGAAAATTTTATGCAGCAGCTCATCGTTCTCCATCCATATCGGTTGAGGTGCTGAAAAGGAAATAAGAAAAGTAGTAAAAAGATATAACATAAATTATGAGGCCGTTCAAATTTTATTAGCGAAATGAGGCGACGAAAAATTTTCTGCTTTCTGTTTGAAGTAGCAATAAATGCATAATTCTATTTAACGCCTTTTGAGCGCCACATCCCAGCACAGATCCGCTCATGCACCAGCCAGCAACTTTTGTGCCTATTTATTATGTCATCGAACGGCAACGCCTCGTGTGCATGGCATTAGGCGGCAATAAAATTTTATTCGCAAAATGTGGCGCAGTGTCATTACGCAGAAACACGTATGAGAGTGTGTGTGTGTGTGTGTGTGTGGCGGCCTAAGTTCAGTGCACTACTTACCAACTTTTTTTATGCGTATATCGGACTTTTATTGTTTTGCCTAGCAATGAATATCATTAAGCGCCAAAGTAACCACAAACGCTGGAGGAAAAGTGGAATACAATTTAAGCAAAATCGAAGGACAAGCCGCAAATGATGGCTTAGTAAGCTTCTCAGCAGATCGCTTTTGTATGTAAATCTTAATTTATATTCACACCAAAATGGGCACGCCTTAAAGTATGCCACAATAGTTTTCTAGTTCAAATGTCCTTGCAAAAAAGGAGCAGCAAGAAGAGCCGAGGAAGAGGAGCAAAGAGCCATGGAATGAATGAAATCACAATTGTCACAAAACCAGCAACCAATAGCACAACAACAACACCAATCAAAGTTTGTAGATGAAATCAACGAAAATTCAATGAATAATTTTCGCTTTCGAAAAACGCCCAACCCAATAAAACTAAATAAATACGAGTATCTAACTACAACAAAAAAAAAAAAAAATGTAGCGTCGACATTGTTTTTGAAAAGTTTCGATGTCATTTGCCAGCTGCTAGTGCCCGGCGGCGCTTTCCGCACTCAATTGTTTTATTTTTATGTGCT